ACGAATTCGCCGCATTTAAACAAAGCGCTAAATCAAAGGTAATATATTGCAGTTAAAGATACTTACTTGGCAACGGATGGTAGCTCGGCTCTAAGTTTAAGATTCTTAGCTCCATCCCAGAAGCAGTCCAGTGGAGATATAACGAGGCAGGGAATAATGGCTGCTATGATCTAAAAGACACCAGGATTAGGATGACGCGACTGATTGTAACTCAATTAATTCTAAAATTATTTGCATAAGGCTCGATTTCCGCCGTTTTCTCGAGTCCAGTCCTTGATCCTTCCAAGAGAAGTCGGGAGGTGAACGCAGGACGATCCACCATGCACCCGCCATAACATTTGTTGAAAAAATATCTTTTTCTTCATGAATTCAAATTGCACTTTCGCGAGAAAATAGAAGCTAGGACATAGGGTAGAAATAGATATTTGAGCAGATCAATTTGTAAACATTAATTTCGTCACCTACCCCGTCCACTAAAGAATTGTTAAAAGATGGAACCTCTGGTACGTAACAGAGGTCTGTATGAGACCAAGTCCTAAAAACAAATAAACAAATCAAAACAAAACAAACAGTAGAAATTAGTTAAAATCCCATTTGTTTTCATCTCTGTTGTTCTGTTACTTAGTGTCAGTAAAAAGGTTTATATTTTTGTGGATTTTTTTGCGGAGTTTTACGTCACATATACTATAAAGTGGTCCTGGGAAAAATCAATTTCTTATTTAGGATTCGTAGTCAGCTGATAGCTGCAATGAAATCCTTGCAAATTGTTTCGATAATTCAACTGAAGGTAGAAAAATCTCAGAACTACTTCTGACACACAATTCAAAATTCAAACAACCAATCAGACATCGCTAACGTCTCTGTCTGTCATCGCTAACGTCTCAGGTCAATGCGAGGCAAGAATTGGACGATGAATCGAAAGAAAGCTGGCCAGTAAAATGATCTGACATTTCATGAATATTTAAACTTACTTGCCGAATATGTCGACCTTAATTTCTACAGCTTTTTGAACTGCTTTTAGATGCTTCTGCATCGAATCCACCGACAAAATATTATCGCCACCTTCATTGGCAGCGTGGATTATGAGTTCATTAGTTGTTCCCGCTCCTTCTCCAACTGAATCCTTTGTGTACTGTAGTTCCTTTTCAAGCCTTCCATCAACTGTAGAGTAAAAACGCAGTGACTTTCATTACAAAATATAAATAGCATTTATCTTAAACCAGTAGATAAACATCGATCACAGACGAGTTCCCTGTGTCTCAGTTAATGGAACATTCTCCGCAAAATAAGAGAGGAAGGGGTTTGAATTCTTATCGCGCGCTCAGATTTGTTTTCTGCCCCGACCACTGCTGACAGTTAAAGACTTTCTTTATGAAGAGATGTGTCCCTTAATATGACTTGTTAAAACGATCTACAGTAGGTTCCTAACGGAAACATTTTGCGTTACTTTTGTATCAAACCGATTTTTTTTCGCTGCAGCAAACAGCTTACACACAAACTCTGTTACCGCTAGTGACAAGCTTTTAACACTTTTCTCTATCCCCAGATTCGTCATTTAATTGGACTTACTAAAACGATCTACAGTAGGTTCCTAACAAATATGTTAAGCGTTACTTCTCTTTTAAGTTGAAATTTTCCTCGGTAAAGTACAGCCCTGTAACCACAAGGAAAACAAGACAGTGAAGAAGTCGATGTTTTCTTGACGAGGCACAGTCTATCAATTTTCATCTCGTCAAACAAGCTAATTTGTTCAAATGGGGAAATTTTCATTCCAATTTACGAGATTCGTCTGGCGGCCACGCTCGCCTCCCCTTGAAACATATCGATTTTTTCCTCTTTATTTATTTATTTTTTAAATTTTTTCTGCTCGTTGTTTTGTTTTGTTTTAGTTGTTGTTGTTGTAAGGTGATATTAGGAACATCGAGAAAGACCGGAAAGCGACTTATGTGAAAAGGAGTTGAAAATGTGCCTCTCGAATGCCGACGTATTTCCCGTTGTTGAGCGGAGATGAGGTAGTTTTTTTATAGCAGAAAATGAAGGACTTTTGCACAAATCGTACTGTTTCCCTAAGAAGCAACTCGAAAGTACATACTGTGACCATTACCTTCTCATCAAATTCCGTGTTTACGGGTGACGAATTTCATTAGTCTTGACGTTAGGAATGGGAAATCAAATAAAGTGAAGTTTCATAACGAACTCTACGATTGTTCAGTGTCAACAATCTGACACAGTGTGCAGGTAATTTTGACTCAAAATTTAAAAAAATGAAGTCCACATCTAGCGATTGCTTCATTGTATAATCAACTTATTCACATGAGCCTCAAGCTAAAGTTTTGTTACTAGTTTTTTATGCTAATTGTGTTTTTCTTTACGCTCTAAATCTGCATTTTTACCAATATCGCAGATATTAGAGCTCATTAGATAGATGTCATTTTTTGATGACGATTATTTTCTAGTATGTACATTTTGTGCATGTATACAAATCCACGTCCTCTTTCCGAATTTTTCTCCACGTGATCTTTGCTTTAATATTTTTTGAAGTAAAGCGAAATTTTGCCGCGTCATTTTGTGTTGAACTTACCAACAACATTCAACACAGTTGGAAATTTCGAGTTTCTTCGTGTACGAAGATTTTTCCACTGACAGTGAGGGAAAGTTACAGCGGAGTTGGTTGAAAAGTGAAAAAAATGATTATTTCTCGCCCAATCAAATAGAGGTTGCAATATCAGCTGCTAAAAGCTGATCACAAGGGCAACGTGGTAACTTCATGTTACCACGCATCACGCCACCACTAGTGGCTCATTTGTATGCATAAACGCAGTTTCCGGTTACGCTTGATCTTCCAAAACAGCCATTAAATGGAAAGGTTTTCGAATTGCTGAAAACAGTTTTGACTATGAAACGAAAATAATGAGATAAATGGTGCAAATTCTAATGTGGCTCTTGTATTTTTGACACAAGTTTACGGCTTCGATCACTTTTATTTCTTGTTTCAACACATCTTACGTGATTTTTGCCGATACTGACTTGGCCGAAACAAGATAACAATAACATTGAATTTTTCAGTCATTGAACCACGACCGATGCTTGATTTGAATTTTCCGTAAATTTCTACACCGACCGCTTTGATTTATAATAACATGAGCTAGCTTGTAAATACACAGAATTTTTGTTGAAATACTACTTTGCAAAGTTAGACTTGAAACACCACTTGTCATACTGATGGAGTTAACTTTCACAAAGGCCGGAGTGTGGAAGGCTGCGACATTTTATATATGTACCTCGCTCGCCGATTTGAGAAGGCATTTAGGTGAGAGAATCAACGACCGATGAGAGCTTATTTCGAATAGAATACATTTTTTTAAAACGTAAACTCTACTGCCAGAGTACGAATTGCTGTAAACACTGAAGTGAATGAGATTGGTACACCTAACTTATTTCTCCAACCTGCCCCAAGACAAATAGACATCTCACACAACTTACCTTCCATCCATAATTTCTCTACATCTGTCTCAATTTTTGCTGTTATGATCCCAACAGAGAGCCCGATAAGAATAAAAAATCCAACAGCGAGAACAACCCAACAGTTTCTTTGGCAGAAACACCCTAACTTGAAGAAGATCGCTTGCAGTTTTGAACGTAATCTTAGCGCTGTTCGTTGACCCATGGAATCGATCTTAACCACGATCGCTTGAAGAAAATTCACCCACGACTAGCATCCAGTCACGGAGATTCCACCTAAGAGAGAATTCAACCGTGAAAAAATTCCTACTTAAAACCTAAAACACCTCTACTACTATACTAAATTGTTCCTCATGTCATGGTTACATTCGTTGTGCTTGACATTTCCCACAGAACATTTTATTTATTCGCTTGAATATCAGACATGTGATCGAGGCTGAGCGGAAATTCACTAGAATTGGAAATGAGGCCCTCTACGAATATTTTACTGATGTCGAATAAACAAATTTCGTAGCCACGGTCTTTAATAGAGCGCTCTTGTTTTAAGAAATAAAAATTGCACGCGTCATATTTTTGGCGAGTGGCTAAGGAGATTTTAAACTGTGAAAAAATCATTCGGCAACAAAGTCAATAAATAACAATAATAGAAAACAAAATCGCAGCTAATATCACTCACCCCACTTGAAAAAGGGCCGCATAACATTCTCCAAATGGCGAGCATGTCAAGGCGTATGCAGTTTTAAATTTATTTAAGCTGAGTTCTTGGGCGGGAGATAGAGTGACTTGAAGGAAACCTCCACTGGCGAAACAAGGTGTCGTTGAAATATCTAAATTGTATTCATCTCTGAAGTTTTTGGCATACGAATGAACCAGTGAAAATACCAAACCCCTTGTACACTTCCCGTATGCTCGTTTCGCTTGCCAGCTCGCATGTTGTGGGCTTTGCCGCTAGTGCCACAGCATTAGTGAACGCCTGCACGCAGGCTAAGAGTAGCACAGCGCTCCGGCTGACGTCGGGCATGCACGAGGGGGTCACTTCTGGTGGCCTGTATTTAAATTTCCCGCGCAAAATTTCAAAGGAAACATGAAAAACAACCGCTGCTCCGCAAAATAAGCCAAAGATGAAAGGTCCGTAGAGAAGAGAAAAATTCTTGACAAGTCGATCGCAAAGCTTATTCCAATGCGGATATCCTGATTGTTTAAGTTTTGGGGTTTTACCGAAAAAGTTATACGCTTTTGAAATACCGTGACTGACTGGGTTATGTTGTTGTTTGCAACTCGTGTGGGAGACAACTTGATTCTAAGGGCCTGTTTACATGGAGGTGGGGGACCCCAGGTAGGTGAGGTAACCCGCCTAGCCGTGGTCGAAAAATAATATGCGTTTACATGCAATCTTACAACCCCGAGGTGTGAGGTTTCTTGAGGTTGTTGTTGCGTTTAAGCAGAGGCATCCAAGCTCACATCTCGAAAAAGACGAAAGATTAATTCTCGGACACATATGTATTTACTCATGAAAGCGAAAGTGACCCATGACATCGACCTTAACCACGATCGCTTGAAGAAAATTATGAAAAGAAAAATATGCCACCTTGTCTTTTAAACGTTCGCACGTGCAAGCTTGCCTGCATTGTTAACTTAAGTGAAGGTAAGATTCAACGAAACTTTATTCATTAAATATCCAACAGTGTTTATCAGTGATAATAATTTAACATTTGTTCGTTGGCCCATGACTCAGTACTCTTGGCCAGCGACCAGAATGACGAACGGGATAATACTTCGTGTATATACCGGTATATCAGATTATGCCGTCTGGAGTCCTAAACAATCGACCTAAGTGTTAGCTTTAGTAAACAGTAGTTCTATGTTCTTTGTTCAAATCATTTCTCCGTTAAAGTAACCTCTTTCGCAGCTTTCGTTTATGCCGATTACGCTAAGAGCTCCCTGCACCAGCGTCACGCAAGTGTTCGTGACACAAACAAACAACTGCTGCAATGAGGACTACCGAGGAACTTCTACTTACACTTCATGGGCAGTACGTTCTGATAACGTCACATAATAGCGGGGAGTCCCTGATGTCACTTTAGGGGTCAAATCCCGTATGTCCCTCGAGTACGAACGCCTCAAGAAGCAAGACTGATTACTAAAGCTATTCCAATGTAATAAGGATTAAATAAATAAATTACGGGCTACTGCTTTAAAAAAAAGATATACAACTGATACGGGATTGACTATATCATAGGGCTAATCCACCCCTTATCACAAAATGGCATGTAACCTACGTAAACGACCCTATAGAGCGCTTTTCGATTGAACGTCATGAGACTAAACCCATCGTAATCAAACAGCCAATTAAAGCAAAGGAAACTGTCGCAGTGAGCATATAAGAGTTCAGGATTGGAATAAGCAAACAGTCTTGTGCGCGGGAAAAAGGCGAGTAATGGGTTTAAGACGGCGGCTCGAGTTTCCAGACCAATCACGGCCCAAAGCAAAGCAAAATCAATGCAATTCCAGATTACTTTGGACACTTCATTGAAAATCGCTCTATATCTGGATCCTCACCATCAAACTGTAGGCACTTAACTTTGTGCTATCTTAATGAAAGCAAACAACTCGAAAACATTGTAAGGTGCGACATCTAGATTAAGAAAATCACACGAAGGAGAACGCCGCTTTGTCAACACAGCCGTCGCCAAGGCAACCAGCCTCTGTTCGGAAAAGGAGGCATTGATCCTACTTCGAGAAGAAAGGTATTTGAGAAGATCGGACCCGATAAAACCACGGTTATCACGCTTAAGACAACCACCGCAGGTTTCAATCACATCTCCTCCAGTGTAGTATACTTAGATTTACTAACACACTAAAATCTCACCCATAAACTAACAAGTTGGAGCCACATCCACACCCCCAACAGCGAATATCCCCAGATGGGGGCATTTAGCTGCTGAAATGATGGTGACCAACTTCTACAGTATGACGAACACATCAAACCCTCCACTGAAGTAACGAAAAAGAAGTCTTTAATCCACTGAATATAACGTTTCCTGGGTTCATACTGCTCCAGTAGATACAGTACATAGCGGGCTAAATTAACCAAACATCTCTTTATAAGTCGAGGTTGTAGCGAGTGACCGCTTCTTCTCCACTTTTCTACTATAAATACTGCAAACTCTACACAAGACGTAGATTACACGATATAATAGGATAACATGGGCCCAGTTGGCACGTAAATGCATAATTACACCTTCGAACTTTGTACACCAAATATAAATAATTCGAATAATGTTTGTATTCGGTTCTAAATTAGAATAATTAAGACTGAGATCTCCAACGTAAAGCTAACCCTTTCTTGTCCAATAACAGTTTGGTACAATCCAGTAAAATCCGGTTTTACTGGTTTTATCTTTACAAAAAATGTCACGAAGTTCTTGGTGAATAACTGCACCAACTTCTCGTTCTTGGTCAATGCTGCTGCAGGTTACTCGCGCCGCACGCACTCTTCACCCACGCACGCACGTCTCGCGTGTTTTCCTATGGAAGGAGTTTAGATAATACCTTCATCTGACATTTCCAATGGTTTTCTGACGCCTATCTTTTCACATCATCCTCGTACTCTTCCAGATTTGTTACTTGCAAATCCTCCTCGTCAATCTCCCTTTCACTACGGATCGGCCCGACTTGGGCACCGCCACTTCGGAAATTCTGGTACGCCGATCTCTCAGTGGAAACCTGCTCGGTATGTACTTCGACTGTGACCGTGGCCCGAGCTGTAACGCGAGTCACAGTCGAGCTTGACGAATCAGAATCCACAGTGGGAGTCCTGCTCCGATTTGAACGCCTGTTGCTCTTATGCGGAACCCTCTTATGACGCGTACGTCTCCCCCCGGAACTTGATGACTTCTCCTGTTGTTTAGGGATAGTTTCCATGATACAAACCTCGGAGTCGGAGCGGGGAGTTCTCTGCCTACACGTGGAGCTTGGTAGTAACTCTCCGTTGGAAGCAGTAGATGAAGCCGTACCTGGAGGGCGAACCTCTTCAATCTGTATTGATATAAAACAAAGAGAATGGTAAACATTGATGCGAGGACATAGTCAGGCCCAACCTCGACTAAACATGCTTTCTATTAACACATAACAGCGGCTTTGTCGAAAGCAACATCAAATTGGTGTTACTTATTGGCTTCACTCTCAACCAATGAGATGCAAAGCAAAGAAATTGAGACTAAGTCACTCGCGTTCTACGCGCCTCAGGCAGTTTGCTCGTTTGTGAGTTCTCAGCGGCTACTGGAGATATTTGCTACTCTCTGATTGGCTTTTCTAATTGCTTCGGTTTGGCATCTTCGTTCCCTTTAAAGCGCACAATGAACTTGGAAAAGATTTGGCTCGACGTTTTTTAAAGAGTCATCTGTAAGGCTTCAGTATGTCTTGAGTTGGTTATTTATCTTTTTTCTAGTTCCTGCATCGCATACAACTGCTGAAAACCCAAATACACCTCATTTTCACCCATGACACTTACCTCGGGCCCAGGCCCTGCCAGAGACAACAACACAGGCAGAAATACCAAACCGTTGAGAGTTCCAATGACGATAAGTGCCGCCAACAGGTTGAAGAAATATCTAAATAAATGCAAAAAAAAAAAAGGATGATAAAAAATAAACAAACGAAGATAAAAGAATGGCTCATATTAAAAAAATATTTACAATTGTGTTTCTTTTCTTTCGGAAACGTGCTATACTCGCGCTGAAAAAAATAATTGACCAGATTACGGAAACTTGTGTCCAATAGCTAGCATTTAAGACTCTAAGCGAGAAATATTGTTTCGGCAAATATCATCAACTACAATAATTGCTGTCGTGAATGACTTGAAAAGAAATATCGAAGAAATTGTAAAGGGATTTAGGATAACTCTACCAAAACAAGTTGAGAACATAAAATTTTCCCTCGAGGAAAAAAAATGATTAGAAATACCTTACTGAGTAAATAGGGCTTCACATACGGGAAATCTGACATAAGAACATTCGCAAGGTGTGACGGGAATTAAATCTGATTTTGATATTTACCGCCATTTTTCAAACCACACACATGGTTGTGTTTGTTTTTGTTTATACAGCATAATTTTCCGCGTTCCTGTCCTTTAGTTATAATTACCTGACTATGAAATCGAAGTCTGATCCTGCAAGCATAATGACGCCCAGAAGCGTGGAGACGGCGCCATCCACAACAGGAGAAAAAACATATTCAACAGCTCTCTGCATTCGCTGATTACGGTCGCCCGTACTGGTCAAAAATTTCTGCAAGAACAACGCAGTATAACGTGTAAGTAAAAGGCTTCTTCGCTTCATTTTCACTTATCTCGTTTTTATATAAAATTTTTTGTTGTAATTATTTGGGACAATCCAATCAAA